AAAAGACGAATGGTGTGCTCATTTCACCGGGATGAGTAAAAAATGAAGAAAGAAGAGGCGAAGACATTTGAAAAATGCGTAACCGCCCTTAACAAAATAAAGCAAGCCATAAATCGGCAAAGAAATGTCTCGACGGACATTAAAGAGGGCGTTCATGAACTGCAAATGCAGTTTGATTTGATGACCATTTTCCACCAAGGTTTGGTTAAGGCAGTAGAAAAAAGAGAAAAACTGCGAAAAGACTCTATTCTGACTGCCACATCGAACGTGCAACGACAAAAGCGTGTGGCGACAATTCCAGTGGCGCAAACAACAGAGAATGAGAGCGCCAAAAAGATTCGAGAAGACAGATTCGTAGAATGGCAAACCGTAAACCGGAAGAAACCTAAAAGCCCAAAGTCAAACGGGAACAAAAAAATGATACCCCTGCCACCTCGAAGGGACAAGTGAAAACAGCTGCCGACACGAAGAAACAGTCAAAGACCACGAGCAAGATAGAGACAGAAGCAAAGAAGACCAAATCAAACAAGGACAGGGGTCCGAAGACTGAAACCGTCCTTATAAAACCGACGGGAAGCCAAACCTACGCGGATATTTTAAAAAACTTTCGTTCGAACGTTAAGCCGGGCGATTCGGAAGTCAAAATTCTAGCAGTTCGAAAGACAATGTCGGGAGCTATGTTACTAGAGCTTGATAAAGGGACCAAGGCAAGCCTAGAAATCTGTGAAAACATTATGAGCGCTTTGCAGGAAACAGTGGAGGTAACCGGGCTAACACCGACAACCACAATAGAGATAAGGGACCTTGATGCGCTCACGACAACTGCTGAAGTCGAAGAAGCCGTCAAACGAATCCTTCCACATGGAATTGATCGACTGAAAGCTATGGTCACTAAACCGAATAATCGAGAATTGGTCAGAGCTTATGTGCAACTCCCAACTACAGCAGCGGAAAAGCTTCTCCAAGCAGTCCCAATCACTATTGGATGGATCAGAGCGAAAATGCGGATGCGCACCGAAACTAAGCGCTGTTTCAGGTGCCGTGGCATAGGACATATTCAAAGAAATTGCAAGGGTCCAAACAGAACGAATCTTTGCATCAAATGTGGTGAACCTGGACACAAATTAAAGGATTGCACGGACCCTCCAAAGTGCTGCATATGTTCTGACGCTGGTCTTAAAACCGTTAATCACATCGCTGCATCTGGCAAATGTACATTGGTTAAAACCCAGAAATGACAAGACTTCTGCAAGCAAACATGCACCGAAGCAAGACAGCAGACGCGCTCCTATTACAACTCGTGCATAAACGGAACGTGGATGTTGTCATAATCAGCGAACAGTATAGAGAAATCAATAGTGGTGCCTACTTGACTGATAGCAGTGGAACAGCAGCCATTTGGATTCCATGCGCTGAAAACTTCCCTTTTTTGGATAGCGGTGCTGGAGACGGATACGTTTGAATGCGAAACCGCAACTTCACCCTTATAAGCTGCTATCTAACACCTAACGACAGCATCGGCGAGTTCCAAACAAAACTAAACGCAATCGAGGATTGTGCCACCCAATCAGGCGGCAACTTCATCATAGCGGGTGACTTCAACTCGAAGGCTATCGAATGGGGTATGACGACCACAAACTCTAGAGGTAGGCGAGTCCTCGATATGGCGTCCAGATTAGGGCTGGTAGTCGCAAACAGGGGAACGGTTCCCACCTTCCGCAGACTAGGATGCGAAGGCACATTCCCAGACATCACGTTAGTGTCAGAGAGGATAGCGAGTACGCTAAAGAGATGGTCAGTTCTGGAGGACTTCACGAGCAGTGACCACCAATACATCTGGTTCACCGTCGAACTACTCAGCAGGTCAAATGGAAACTCCGGAAGAAAATCTACCCGCAAATGGTCCACGAACAAACTGAATCGAAATATTTTCCTCGAGGTGTTTGATGAGAAACGCTGGAGGGAGAGACGCCAGAAGCTTGGTCCGCCACACAATGCAAAGCATAACACAGACTTGCGACGCAGCAATGCCTAGAGCTGCAAAAAACTCTGAAAGAAAAGCAGCCTACTGGTGGACTGATGAAATAGCCGAACTTCGAATGGTCAGCCTCCAAATGCGAAGGAGAATGACTAGGGCCAGAACCCGAAGTAACGCTGCGGAAGAAATTGAAGCACTGAAAGCGGCGAGGAAAGCGTTAAAGTTTGCTATCCACAAAAGTGAGAAAAGAAAACGGGAAGAGCTGCATAACGACCCATGGGGACTTGGCTACAAGATCGTTATGCGGAAACTAGGTACTCTAGCATCAATTCCTGATCTGGAAGAAAGTATGATGGATAACATCGTAAATTCTCTCTTTCCGGACCATGAAGAGATCTCGGAAGGACCTTCATTGACGACCCACCATTTTTCACAGAATATGAACGTGCCGCCGCACGTTCTTTGAAGAACAACAAGGCTCCAGGCCCAGATGGTGTTGCATCAGAAGTAATTAAACTGATAGCAGATGATCGTCCGCAACTACTGCGCCCTAGAAAGGCGCTTTAGTACACCTATGTACCTAATGCAAATCATTCGCAGTTACCTTAGCGATAGAGAGCTTCTCTACCACACACGGAATGGCATGAAAACCAAGAAGATTTCTTCCGATGCAGCACAGGGCTCCGTTCTCTGTCCCGATCTATGGAATGCGAGCTATGACGAAATATTCTCCATCGAAATACCAGACAACGTTCACCTAGTCGGTTTTGCTGATGATGTAGCTGCAGTCATTACAGCTCGAAATGTGCACGAGGCACAACTCAAACTGCAAGAGGTGATGATACGCACGATGGCTTGGATGGATGACCGTGGCCTAAAACTAGCAACCGAGAAGACTGAATTGATCTTACTAAAGAAGCGACAAATACCCTTGGAAATCGAAATGGAAGTCTGGGACTCGACCATAAAAACATCCAAGGTAATGAAATATCTGGGCATCCATCTGGACTCTAGGATGTCGTATTGGGATCAGATAAATCATGCTGTCGAAAAAGCTTCAAAGTCCTCAGCGTCCCTTAGCAAGCTGATGGCAAACGTTGGTGGACTAACAGAAGGTAAACGAAAATTGCTAATGGCAGTAGTGAACGCAGTACTAGACTACGGTTCGGAAGTATGGTCAAACACCTTACAGATTGATCAGAAGCGCAATGCGCTCCAAAATGTCCAGAGAACAGCTGCACTCAGAGTAGCATCAGCTTACCGAACTGTATCCAGACAGCGGTTCTTGTGAACAGCAGCGCAATACCCATCGACCTCTTGGCCATGGAACGAAGGCGAGCATATTTAAGCCGCCAAAACAACGACAACAACAGCGTGAGCACAAGCTACCGAGAACACATAATGCAAGAATGGCAGAACAGGTGGAGCAACGAAACTAGTGGTAGATGGACTGCAAGACTTATCCCCGAAAGTTCGGCGAGGTCAACTATGACTTAACGCAACTCCTCTCTGGGCACGGATACTTCGGCAAGTACCTATACCGGATGAACATTCGCGAAAAACAGAGTTGTATTTACGGCAACGCAGAAGTCGATGATGCAGAACACACATTCTTCGAGTGCATTAAATGGTCAACCAAGAGAGCCAGCCTAGAAGCACAGATTGGCGGCATGTGGACCCCGGAAAACGTAGTACCTTTACTATTAGCAAGTGAGAGCAACTGATCCGTGGTGGCGAGGCACGTGGAGGCAGTACTGCGTGGAAAACAGAGGCGCCTGGACGCAGGTACAACAGCAGCGTCGTAAGATTAAATCTTACAATCAGGATGTGCATGATCTGAAGCAATACCTAGTGGTGGTTCCGGGTCATGTACTTCATCCTGGAAAGGGGAGTTTTTTAGCATGTCAGAGACTAGCGCGAACCGTGCACTACCCACAGAAAGACGTTTCTGCGGGTGTGTGTAGACATTTTTTGTTCCCCAGCCTCGAAAAAAAAAAATGCTTGTGGTATCCATTTTACTTGTGTGGCTCATCAACGCTAATTCTGCGGCGGAGTAAGTATTGCAGGGTGTAGATGAAATGGCTGTCATTTTTCTTAAACTTAGAAGTTTCCGGGTGAAGTTTAACTTTAAACATGGGCTTAGGTATTTTATCTTTATTAACAATACTTATAACTGCTCTAGCGCTCTAGCTTTTTTCGCTTAGGCCATTTGTGATTTCAATGGGTTTTACATCTGACTCATTACCTTTAATAACGACAACAAGGCCTTTGCTACTCCTCAGTTGGTATGTGTAGTAATTTTTCTTGCTGTCAACTCAATAATACAGTACTACTTCTATATGCATAATTGTTAATAATAATATCTGAAATAAAAATTGGTTAATTTTTGTTTAATATTAAATGATAAACAACTTACCAAAACCCACCCAGCATGCACGCAACTACTACCCGTAAAGTAGTCTGAAATTAGGAGAAAATAGTTTTTTAATAATTATATATATATATATTAGTAATATAATAAATACATACCTTCTTTATTTATCCCCGTAAATTTATTTAAATAAATAAATAATTTATTTACAAATGATTTCTTATATTTAAATGTATTATTTTAAATACACGATAAGAACACTAGTACCGGCATTAAAAAAAGGTTTTTCATTAAATCAAAACAAAACAAATAAATTAGAACCGTCAGAATGCAATTGCAAGAATGCAAGAAGTTGCACAAGAAAGCATTTGTGCAGAAGTGGTAAATTGCATCAAAGTTCAATAAAGATCGCTTGAAAACCATTATATATATAAATACATATTGCATAAAAATTGGTCACATGAATTCCAATTGAAATTTCTTATATTTCGTAAAATTCTAATCAAAATACATGTAAATTAAATACTTTAACAACCACATTGTAAAAAACGTTACACGATTTCACATAAAGATTTTGTTACAAAGTAACATCCCCTTCCTTAAGTGATTACACAATAGCATCAACAAAAAAAAAAACTATTGTAAACAAACCTTGAGTGTTGCATAGCATGATCAACATAAAAAAGTTATTGTACAGCATTAAAAAAGTGACTGTACTCACTGTAAAGACCTTTGCCGGCCCTTTCCCAGGCTGGGGTATACTCAACGTAAACCAGGGTTCACTACAAAAAATATAATATAACTATTTAAACTAAGAATAACCAATTCATGATATTTCCAAACAGAAAACTAATAAAATAAATAACTAACAAAATAAATAACACAGGTTATATAATATGCTTAATTATTAGAACTAGATATATTTCAAAAAAAATAATACAATAATAAATAATAAAATAATTAATACAATGATTTATATAGTATATAATATATAGTATATACATAATATGATTTATATGTATAGGTATTTATATATACAAAATTCAATTAATTATATAAAAAAATGACATTGATATAATATATACATAATATAAAACATGCTATGGAATTCTTTGTTGCTGCTGCATACAACTGTTGCTGGCCGTTAACAATATTTGAAGCTAATCAACCGTTTAGATATCACTGGCTAACGTCCTTCAGTTGGGTTTTTCCCTTTAATTCAGAGTCTTCTTCTTCGGTGTTGAGCAAATATTATTCTGAACATACATGATTTGCAGGCACCAACTAATCGCTTGATTTAATTAATTTATTTAAATGTTTTTTTTTAATAATCTTTTAGTAATTTTCGCACTCCAGCTAGTAAATTTATTTCTGTTAAGTTTTAATTGTTCAAATTTTATCGAATTTATTTTAGTTCATTTAAACTCTATTTTAAGTTATAGTTTTACCCGTAACTTTTCACTATTTTAAATGTTTTCTTTTATCATGTTTGTCGTTCACTTTTCATTTTTTTACCCAGAGTCCGCCGCGAGGTTCAACCATACATCTTAAAAAAAAACCACGAGACTCCCCAGCAGCATCCAACTCTTTTTTTTTCCGACTCCCGCTTTTATTTCATTTTTTTTTATCACTGCTTGCAGTACACTCTCCAGTTAGCCGTTTTTTTTCCGGTTCATCAACTCAATCTTTCTCCTCACCAGATGTTCGGTTGTTTTACTTCCAGCCTTCTTTCTCTTTTCTCACCTTGCGATTTTAAGCTACACTCTCAGCTTTGGCGAAAACGAAAATGTAAACACACAAAATGTCATTTCTCTCGTTGTTATTTTTGTTTTGATTTTTTTTATAAATGTGTTTGGCTGCCAGTGTTTAATATTTTATTATTTATTTATCAAAACAAAGATGAATATAAAAAATACATATTAAGAAACAGTAAGATCAATTTTGTTTTGCCAAAAGGGCAAAAAAAATTGATCATTACATCACGCTGAGCATAACAGAGAGAGAGTTAAGTGAACTCAACACCCATGCTATATTATAAACAGCAGCTTGTCATGACAATAAAATAGTGCTTTCTGTTAAGAATACAGAAATCCCTGGAATTATGCTACGTTCTTATTAAAATAAGAAACTTTAAGCTACTCAAAAGCTCGAAAGTTCAACTCTTAAGAGCTTAAAACTTCCTCTGTTAAACCAGGTATAAAACTTTAAGATCAATCCTGTTAATCTCAGATCAGTTTTGACAAGAGTTCAATAGTGTCTCCTTTCTTTTGGAATTTAAAATTAAAAATATTAAAAGTTAAATTCAAAAGGAATTTTCATTTTTCCGTACAGAACGTTTCAATTTTCTTGTGCTGGAAAAATTTTTATTTAAAATCAAATCTGAATTATCCGTCAGAATATTTCAAATTTCTTCTGCTGAAAAATTTTTATTTAAATAAAATTTGAATTATCGGCGATATTACGATTGCGAAGGAACAGTTTGAAGGTGTAGCATTTTCCAGTGAACATAAATCTGTTGGTTTTAAAAAATTCTAGTTAAAAATATGGCAGAAATGGATAACAATGTAGACAAGCCAGAACCCCCGGACATAACCACCCCCAATTAAATTCGGTATCTCCGGCTTAAATTAAAACGTTGGTAGCGGAAATCATTGAAGTTAAAAAATTCAGCGAGCTCTTGCAAATTAATTACTCTAAGCTGCAAAAGCAAATCCAAGAATTAAAGTTACATTGCTCGGAGGTGAAGGAACAGCTGCAGTGCAGTTTAAAACCTGATGCAGGTAGTATGCAATGTTACAACAATAAAAGGAAAAAGGTGTCACTACCCTCCGCAATTAGCTACTCCCGCAGTTCTGCAGGCTCCAACGATGAAGATATGGAGTTGGTGATCTCTGCTGAGCTGCCCATCGCCTTGAACTGTGGGTCCATTAACTCTAACAATGAAGATTTCCCATCTTATGATCGGAAACTCAAGTCGTCTAAGACTCTCAAGAAAAATGCCTCCAATATGGCACCCCGCGCGGCGGAGCCAGAAGTTGTCAATGTCTCATCCACCCATGTTGAGAAAACTGTAATAAATACGATAATCCTTCCGGAATGCCCTCAGCTAACAGCTGCTCAAAAAGACAAGGCTATTAACAAGCTTCCAAGCGCTAGTGCCGTTGCCACCATAAGCAATGACAACCAAGAGTAACCTGCACGAAATGATGCTACCTTCGACAAGAAACTAGGCAAAGCTGCCTCATAGTACTCTGTCGGACAAATACCTAAAGCTCGTTGGTTGAACAATTTTTCTCTTAATTAGTTTATAGTCCGTATATAATTTGTTTGGACTGCAAGTGCCAGGTTTAGAACTCGTGCTTAGAACTTTGTGTTTGTCCTTTATTTCTTTCCTTGTTATTCGAAAAACCCTCTAAATTTTAAATAAAGCTTCTTTATCACCATGCAAAGAAAGCGTAGCTTCTCAGCAACACTAGTATTCAAAAAATGTTAATGTTAAAAAAACTTACAACAAAAACAAATAATTCAAGGCCAATGGAAACCTGGTCCATATGCGGTCAAATTCACAGAAACTGTTGCCCAGCAGAAAATGTAATTGCAGAAATTTTAATAACAAAGTAATTTCAAATTTTTCAGATTGATGCAGGTGCTCTAGCTAATATAATATCAATAAAAACTGCGTTTTCATAATTTAGAAAAATGACGGTTGTTGGGTAACAATACACTTTCAGTGACATAAAATAAATAATTACCATAAATAATGAAAATTTTGTATCATTGGCAACCCTGTTGCACAAATGCAAATTAATACAATAAAAAAAGTCAGTTTTGATCAAACTCGCATTAAGAAATGACGTGTGAGTTTTCTTTTTATCTTTTTCGCTTTTTAGTTGTTGTTTTACCAAGAAAAACTCTTCTCGGCACATTTTTGGCGCCCAACGTGGGGCACGATAGATATTTGACAAAGTGCATATTTTGAAGTGATATAATTTTATAAAAAACTTTGAACTAAATATACAGTAACTCCATCGCATAATCGGACAAGCGTTTGTTCGATATAAATGTGCTCTAAACTTAAAAAAAAATGCTAAAAATACGATTTTTTTTTGCTTTAATTGATACTTAACATGCTTATTTATCTAAATTATAAAAAAAATTAAAACATTTCTCATAATAACTATTAATTTAAAGTAAACAACAGAACCAAAACAATTTTTTGGGCTCAACTCATAATCGGACAAAGTGAAGCAGCAATGCTAAAAATACTGTTATTTTACAAATATGCACTTCAAAACTACAGTAATAAGTCTCACAACAATGTTTTTTACATTAAGATAAATATAAATTATAAATTATATAATTGTAACATAAATTAGTATTAAAATGGCACCAAATGGAAAGCAATTTACTATCGAAATTAGGCAATTAATAATTAAATTGAATTTCGAATGTAAAACCGTTAGAGAAATTGCTAATTTATTTGGAATAAGTAAATCTACTGTCTAAGACATTATCAAGAGGTTCCGTGATGAGTTTAAGTTGGCCAATAAAAGCAGAGCAAGTCAAGGCACTATATTAAATGATCGAGAAGAGTAGATCTTAGATCATAGATTAAATGATCGGGAGTAGGTAATTTGCATTTTATAAATAGTAAAATGGACAAATTTGGATACCTCGACGATCTGAAACAGAATGTAAAGCAAAGTGCAGAGAAGTTGAGTATCGCAGAAAATTTTGATTTTTATCAGGACAACGATCTCAAGCATACGTTAGGCGTAACAAAGCTTTGGTTGATCCATAACTGCCCCAAACTCTGTCGCTGCTTGCTGCATTTGATTTGACTTCATATACTGTTGCTGCTACTGCGATCATCTTCAATTTTCAGTGCTGTCGCTGCATGCAGAATTTACGTCGATTTATTATTGCTGTTGCTGTTTATCACTTACCTATCGATTTGTTGCTGTAATTGGTGCATTTATCTTCTGCATTATATTTTTACATCATAATGGCAGAAAATCTTAAACAGCAAAGAGCCAACACTAAAAAAAGCATCACACGCATTAAAAATTATATCGAATCTGCAAGGAATGAAGGAAATGTACTTCCACATGCTGAACTAAAATGTCGCTTGGCGATTTTAGAAGCTTATTACAAATATTGACTACGCAATCGAGCATTGAGGCTTTAGATCCAGAGGATAATTGTTGATCAGATTTAGAGGAGCTTTACATTAATGCAAAGATGGCCATTCAGTTGCAGCAGTTCCACAACACGTTAATATCTGATGGTAACATCACTATACACCAATCAACATCGAAGTTATCAGCGCTACAATTACTTTCATTTAATGGAAAATATTCCGAATTCAAAAATTTTATAACGTCGTTTTCGCAAATGATTGATCGGGAATCAACCTTATCTAATCTGGAAAAATTTAATTATTTGCTGACTTGTCTGCATGGCCCAGCGTTAGAAACTGTTAACGCGTTTCAAGTCACAAATGTAAATAACTCAAAGGCATTAAATAGATTGAAGGATATGTACGACAATCCAACACTCATTTTCATGGAAAACATATCAGCTCTTTTTGATCTTCGTGGTACTTCCAAACCGGGAGGAGATAAGCTGCGAAGTCTAATCGGTACTGCGTCAGCAGTTTATAGTTCACT